TATATAGTGATATTCTTTTATATTATTGGTTTTTATTTAATATATGTACATGCATATATATATATAAAATATATATATATATATTTTTTTTTTTGAGGCAGTGTCTAAAGTGTAGCCCAGATTGGCCTTGAATTGAACTTGCATTCTTCTAGCTCTGGAATGATGGGATCACATACCTTTGCACCACACACAGTAGTGACAATATTCTTAAGTAATGGAGTCATATTATTATAAGGATTAAGAATTTGTAAGAAGCATATATTTGGTTTTGTGAATGCATTCTTTTCAGTGTTATTTTCATAAATAACACAACTGGTGCTTTGGAAGATGCCGTGCTAAACTGCAGATTAAGCTTCAAAGATATTCATCCTAAAACTTTATGTTATATTTTGAATATATGTTTTGTTTAACTTATGTATGATGGTGTCTGTCTGATTAGTCTTGCATAGGTAACTGCTGTACAGTGAAATTATTTCACAATATGTATCTATGTGAGTGTTCTGCTTTAAAATAAAGAGAGAAGGATAAAACTGAACTCTATCATCTTTTTACCTAGCATCGATGAAAAGTTTAAAAATGGGTTTTTCATTCTTGGGAGACAAGCACACACATGCACATTTACATGTATAAATATAATAATTTCACAACACTGTGCTCGTGACAGTTGTTGATTGACCCTTAGCACCACCAGTTTTTCCTTTCTCACTTTGAATGTGTTACAATACAATGGCATCAGATAAGGAAGTGTTGATAGGAAAAGTGTGAGATCTTTTCCAGTTCTCTGTTGTCCTTCAATACTTTGGACCCATGAGATGTGCTACCACAAGACATGCCTACAGTATGCTGCTTTTCTAATCCTTCATCCATAATCCTGGTCAAATGTAGACTTGACTCCATCTGCCCCTGGGCAGCTTTTCTGAACCTGGGGAACAAGCTCACAGTTTCTACATAATTCTGTTATCTCCTACTGCTTGTATGTAAGTAAATAACTGCTTTGTGTGGCTTTTGTATGAGTGTCTAATTATCAGATTTGTTTGGTTAACCAGTGTAGAGTAAACATGCTTCACAATATGTAGTTTAAGTTTCAGTTTTGAATTTGTTTATGTAATTTATTAGTGAATGGCATGAACAGATGTTTTTCTTATTACTGACCAGCATCATTCTCCAATACGATAATTTGCACCTGTGATGATTTGAATGACAATGTTTCCCATAGGCTCCAAGTATTTGTACATTTTGTCCCCAGTTGGTGGCAGTGTTTTGGAAGGTCTTAGAAGGTGTGGCTATGCTGGAGGAAGCACATCATTGGGGTGGACTTAGAGAGTTCTTAAGCCATGCCAGATCTAAGATCTCTCTCTCTCTCTCTCTCTCTCTCTCTCTCTCTCTCTTGCTTCCTGTGCCCATTTGAAGATGCATAACTTAGCTTCCACTCCTCTTCCAGCCACCTCCTGTTATCATACCTCCCCACCGTTATGGACTGTAATTCTGCTAGAACTGTAAGCTCAAATAAACTCTTCCTTCTATAAGCTGTTTTGGTTAGTGTTTCCATCACAGCAACAGAAAAGACTAATACAGTAATTGGTACCAGAGAGTGGGCTGTTGGCTGTGAAGAGTCTGACCATGTGGGGTTTAGGAAGAATGTGGAAGACTTTGGAAGTTGGGACTACAAAAGTGGTTTACTGCCTTAAGCAGAGCTTAACAGGCCATTCTAGTAGGGGCTGGAAGAAATTAGTGCTGAGAACAATGTAGTTCAAGAAGGAAATAAAGACATAAGCAAATATTGGGATATTTGGGGAAAGAGCCTGGCTAGAGTCTGCCCACCCCAAAAGAGCTTGCCTCAGACTAAATTGAGAAGCAATGGACTAATTTCTGTGGTGGAAGAAATTTCAAGCTTCCTAACATAGAAACTGTGGTGAATAGTTGAATAGTATGCAGATCTACAGTTTAAAAAAGAAAGAAAGAAAAGAAAGGCAAATGCGGCAGAAAACAACACAGAATGCAGAGTTTGGATTGAAAAAAAGCATTAGGAAGATAACTGTTGGAGGGGAACTGGAGAGGATCTCTTTGATAAGGAGATTAAAGTGATTGAGGAGAGGTTTAGAGATTTATACTTAAACAATGGAGACAGTGCCAGCAGGGCAAGACCACACCCAGCTAAGCCTCCAACTTCTGAAAGGAAAATGCTGCAGGGGCCACTGAAGAGAAAAGCTCCTAAAATGGATAAAGCAGGTAGGAGTACATCCCAAACTTGCAGCCAAGCTTGGCAGCTTTCACCTGGTGCTGCTTTTAGAGGCATGAAAAATGGCCAAGTGAAGGGGTTATCACTTCTTCTTCCAAGGTTTCAGAGAGTTGCCGAGGCCAGGCAGCATGCAGCAGGGGTGCCTGTGAATAAAGAAAGTCTTGATAGGCCAATGCATGAAGCTGTGAAGATGTAACCTGGTTGACAGTGGAGACCCCCAAGACGATATTCCTGATGCCAGAGCTATGAGACATCTACCAAGAAGACCTACATAAAGGGAGTGGTAGAAGCCCAAGATATATATATTTCATACAGCAAAGCTGGAGAGGCTGAGCCATCTAAGCCTTTTGGAAGTAAAGTACCAGAAGTCAGACACAGATCTACTGGACTTCAATTTTGTCCTGTTGGTTTTCAGTCTTGTTTTTGTCTGGTATTTCCTCATTATGCCTCTATTCCTCCCTTTTGCAATGGTAATGTGTATTCGGTTCCACTGTACTTTGAGGGAATGTAATTTATCTTTTGATTTTACAGGGGCTTGCAGTTAAGAAATTTCCTGAGTATCTTCTCAGAAGATACTTTGTGCTGGGAACTTTTAAGTAGTATTGAAAATGGTAAAGATTTGTGTACTTTTAATGTTGGACTAAATG